GGGGAGAGAGAGAGAGAGAGAGAGAGAGAGAGAGAGAGAGAGAGAGAGAGGGGGGGAGAGGGAGAGAGAGAGAGAGAGTCAGAGAGACAGAGACGGACATAGAAAAAGAGACAGAGAAAGAGACAAAGAAAATGAGATAAACCACCGAGAAAGAGAGAGAGAGACGGGGTAATTGAAGATTGGATAGGACAGAAAAAAGCGACAAAGATAAGCAGAGAGAGTCCGATAGTGTAAGAAAGAGAGAAATGCGGCGTCTTTGATACAAGTTGTTTTTCCTCATAAAAGCTTTTTACCATCCGTGGCAATAGATGACTTTCTCTTCCCCATCTAACTCCGTAACAGGGCACGCCCATCAATACCCTCAAGGGAAGTAACCGACTATCCCTAAACCCCGAAAGTGTCTCCTCTTGACGTTTGTTTTTATCCCAGTTATGTCCCTTATCCCCTTGGAGGCAGTTGCAAGACTGCTACTTCTTTTTTTCTGTTAATAAAAGAGGACAAGGGCAGGGGGACAGGAGATCTTAAGAGGTACGAAAGTACATTTCTGTTCGAGCGAAAAGGAGACATAGTTTTGCAAACTGTACCCATTGTAAGAATGATTTTGGTGGCTTTCCAGTTTCCCTTCAAAAGACAAGCAAAGGGTCAGAAAAAAAGAGTAAAAACGTGATGGTTATAGACAGAAAACACCCCGAAATCAATGGTGTCAAATAAGCACACTTATATTTACTAAAAAGACAACAGTAGACATTTGAAAAGCGACAGAAGTTGTGATATGACTATCCAAAAGAATGATGAAAAGATAGCAGAAAGCCGAGGCTGATGGATAGACAGATGGAATGGGATGAGGTAACGAACCGGAAAGGAAAAGCTCAACGGAAGGAAGGAGCAAGGGGAGAGAATTATGGCCTTCCCGCTAGGGGGCGCTACAGGTTTGACAGCTCCGAGTCGATTGGCTTGTCTGGGTCTTGCCGCCCTGGATGAGCTAATGAACAGCGCGGGGTGTCTGACTACCGGTGAGTATTTGACAGTCTGAGTGAGATGCAGGGGAAGAGTAGGGAGTGAGTGAGAGAGAGAG